ATCACAATCCTCAATGACGTGAAGCCCCAGTCAAACCCAACATGACCAAAGGCCATGATCGCACCCGGTTATGATCCTAGAGTCTAGGCAAGAATCTCTGCTTGGTTAGGAAGGTTTCATTGGTCTGTACACCGTACGTATGATGGGCATCACCATATGAACATATCTGATCCAATATTTTAGCGTATATAAGTGAGTTCGATTGCCTCAAACCACATGAAATCACGAAGGATAACGCTTGGCTCTAAATCCAGAAAGAAGAAGCCATGTCGCTCGTCCTTTCAATGGCGATTTTTGACAAGGGTTTCATATCACTGTAGTCAATCAAGATTTCTCAGGGGAAAAAGTCGAGCTACTCGAGTTCTTGAATGCTGTCATGAGAACACAAATGGGCATTGGACTTTAGTTCACATACGAACTAGAGATCACCTACCTTATCTTCCACAAACATAAAGATAAATTATTACATCAGTTCATAGTTGCCCTAATAAAATAAAGATGGAGGTCGTCTGTCAGTTCCTTTCCCTTGGCGAAGAGCCCAGGCAACAACCCCACCACAACCAGCCCATGCTGTACACACGAATCGCGACTCTCGCCTCAGGCAGTACGTTGTATTCCTCGTGCACATTGCTCCCTTCCACACAGCCGCCGCCGCCGCCGCCGCCACCCCCCCCCCCCCCGGTGAATCCAATCGGGTACAACGGCATAGTAAGATTCAGACCGACCTTCCTTAGGGGAAAGAAGACTTGGTTTATTGCAATTATTGTTGTTGTATCCACCGTTCACCTTAGGATCCTTTTTGTAATGAATTTTGTTGTTGTTACTGACATGGTGCCTTCAGTTTTTTACTCAAAGGGTCCAACTACCAGTGATTTTTCTCGGCAAGGCGATGTGACGAGATGACATTGGCAATTCAAGAGCACGACCACCTCCGTCCCAAGTATTTCAAAAATTCATGACAACGTCTCAAACAACCATCTTTAAGTGAACGAATGAATGTAAACTCAGCTAAAATGTTCAAGAAACGGTATGAACTTATTTCACCGAAAAGTGTCAACAAAGTACCTTCTGAAATGCGGATCAATGTGAGAATCGGCAAAAGGTTACGGAGAGTCCTTTGTTGATTTTAAACAAGAGAGTAAATGATAAGAAATTTAAAGATATGTATCTGGAAGCAACTGAGGCAATTATGTAAACAGCAAGGAAAGATAAAGATAAAGATAAAGATAAATGTGCAAAAGAATATTGAGCTTTGTGATTGATTGAGGGCGGCCTCTTACAAAGAGTACAATTAGGGTACTTACTCCTCACAAGCGACGGTTACACAGACAATCGCTAGAACTTTGCTACTTGACGATTACATCAACTTCACCGCTCGACAATTATATTGACTCAACCATCTTGATGGTTACCTCTTCGACGTATTGCATATGAGATTGTACACTCCATTACTCGGCGGTGCTGTCGACTCCACTTCCTTAACGATTACCTTTTTGTCAGTTGCATATGAGAATGTCGGCTGAACACTTGGACATTTTTTTGTATCAACATATACTCCTCTCAAAGGAATTGAATGCTTCATTGATCATTTGATTTTTTTTAAATTAGACATACAAGGGTCATCATATGTCCCCCTCTCGTCCGCAAATTTGACTTTTCCTTGCCAAATTTTATCTTTGTCAGCTTTATGATCTCAATCGTATCTTTTCATTAAAGCCACGTTTTGTATAAAGTCTTCACATGGCCCTTTATCTATGTGTTTAAGCAATTGTTCATACTTGGACACTCTAGTTGTCATTTAAAATAAATCAGCAAAGTCTTGGCCTTCAACTATTTCTCTTAAATTAAATTTCAACCCGTTAAAAGATCAAATTTGCAAAAATATTCAGAGAGCAAAGCGAGGCACCTATTCTTAGCTTTCTTAAATTGAGCAATAAATCAATCGTCTGACTCACTATTGTATTGGTAAAGTTTGGCCAAATTAGCAATTGATACATCAAGTATCGTTTTATAAAATTGAGAAGTGGAATTGTCTTTTCCATCTCCACCAAATTACCCATCGAAATAGGAGGTAAATTAGTATGCCAAGTGAAAACAATTTTCGACAGAGACAGAGAAAATAACTTAGTCTTAAAAATTTATTTGTTCCCGCTTCTCCATATTCGGCTAAAAAGCGACCAATATGTTCAATGGTCGTCTGTTCATCTTTGCTAGTGAAGATGGAAAAGTCATGAATATTTTCAAATTCCAATATGTCGACCAATCCGGTTTGCTGCTATTATCAACTAGATTATTTTGATGAACATTGTTTCCATTATAAAAGCAAAGGAACTGAAAACATACCATGATATAACTAGATTGGCTTAGAATATTAGTAGTTGATTGGACGATCATAACCTCGAAGGAGCATCATTCACAGTTATTGGTGCAACTTTCCCTAGAGATTTTTCATTGAGGTGCCTCGGAAGATCAACTTTCCTCCGGTTACCCTATACCACTCTTTCAGCGACCGAGGACTCAGAATGCATGGCAACCTCATTACCAATTTGTGGTAACGGGTTGTTAATTGTTGCCAACAATATCGTTGACTTTTGTTGATTTCTAGTTCTTGCTATCATAGTCTCTTCGAATTAACAAAAATGATTCCCATCAAACCTGCCAAAATGATGGTTCATCGAAAAGTGTTGACAAAGCACCTTTCGAAATCTCCTGGGGATTGATATGGAAATCAATAAAGGTTGCAAAGGGTCCTTTGTTGATTTTGGATAGGAAAGTAGATGACCAAAAAATTGAAGGTAGAGAGAGTGGAGATAATCGTGGCCAGGCATGTAAATTGCAGAAAAATAAAGATAAAAATAGATTTGTAAAAGAACGTTGAGTTTTGTGATTGATTAGAGTAGGTCTTACAAAGAGTACACTTCAATATTTATAGCCCACAAGCAATAGCTACACATACAGTTACTAAGACCCCATTACCTTGTAGTTATGAAGACTCCACTATGTTAACATCCACATAAGTCCACTACTCGAAAGTTACGTGACCCTATTATCTAACGATTATATCGACTATACTACTTTGATGGTTACTCTTTGACGGTTGCATCTAAAAATGTGGACTCCATTACTTGACTTTGTCAGTCGCATCCGAGAATGTCAACTAAACATGTGGACATTTTTGGGGTCGACATAACCAAACGAAATATATTAACCGAGTTCGAATTCGAGGTACATAAGGACAGCAAGCCGTATGGAATCGATCTCATTTCGACAAAAGAATATGCTCCACATATGTAAAAGCGAAAGAAGTCACCTCAAATATTTTTGTACTTAAACACTTTGTCTGCGATCCTGAGCGCAAGTCACACGACCGTACGCGACGAATAAACCTTCCCAGGTGCCGTCGGATATGCTCCCGCAGTTGGGGAAGCGAGTAGCATATTGCTCCCGCATATACTCTTCCCACTCGATCTAATCCTACCTTTTACAAATGGAAAAAAACAAAAAAAACATTATCTTAGTCCTAAACCTCCTAATCACTTTGGACTTCAAAAGGCAAAATCGCATTATTTTAAGTTTTGAGAAAGAGTGAGGTTACTTCCTCGCTTTATGACTACATCTGGTCTACTTTCACTAAAAGAAAGGCCTAATTAAAAAAAAAAAGCACAAACTTTATTTTGAGTGACAATTCTGACCCAAATTTTTTTTTATCTCATAATAAATTATCAACATTCTCTTAAATCCCAAATCCTACCCAAACAATTTGAAAATTTTACATCACGCTAGCTAGATTTAGGACTCATGTTAGAATTGTCATTCAAAGTAAAGTTGGTGTTTTTTTTTTTTTGAAATTAGCCCCTAAAAGAAATGATTATTTTCAATCATCCAAATTGGCATTTATAGGAGTGAATCCCAGATTTGTTTCACTTTCCCTTTTCTCTAATTTTACTAATTCTATGTAAAATCTAGTTGCCATAATTTTTTTTTCTTTTTTTAAATGCTTCAAGTGGGTATTATTGTGCATATTAAAAGTGCTATGTTCTTTTTATATTTTTAGAATTTACTTTTAGACATATTAGCTTTGTCGGACAGAGAATTTTCCGAGAAACATAATTTTTCTTTTTCCATGTTGTCGAGCAAACTCATGGATTAATTGTCGAATAGGATATAGATAATCTTGAACATGAACAACTTTTTAACCCGGATATGTATAAGCATTTTATCTTCGGTGTGCATATTGCCACCAAAAATTTTTCTTTTCAATAGTCTACCGTATACATATAATGGATTATGGCATGATAAGATGAAATACAAGAGATCCTTTTCAAAGATTTGCCAAAATAAAATCACAATCATATTCCCCAGTGCGATAATTTAAAAGATGAAATTAAATTAAGTCAAGGTTTTGCATAAAATGAGAAACTATTTTAAAAGGACAATTAATTTTTCATTTTTTTTGAATTGACAAAAAATCAATATTTATGTTTATCAAAAAAATATCAAGGTCCCTCGACGTGCATGACTTTCTTGCGTCAATGTTTTTGCGTATAGGTTTAGATACTCTCATGATTTCTTTTATCCCTCTGTGGAAAAGTGTCTCATTGATGGTAAGAAAAATTTATCATTCTTTCGTATAGAAAATGAAGAGACTTCATGTTCTTTTTCTCATACTATCTCAATAATTTACCACAAAAGTGAACTTTTGAAGTGGAAGTGGCGAAGAAGAGGCTAATTTTTTTTATCCTAAACAAAAAGTAAATTTAAATTTGCAAGAAATTCATGATAGGAAAGATAGCTAAATCGAATGAGCCGTGCAAAAATAAACAATCATCGAGCTGCTTGTTAATGTTTATGTTTGTCGATAACATAAAGAAGTTTACAAAGATCTGTTTGTTATTGTTTACATTTGTCGATAACTCGAGCCACTCGACCTTAAAGAGAAACATTCCGATTACATTTTTCCCAACTTTCAACTATGAAAAAGGTTACATATGTACTTCCTCGTCAAAATTCCAAGTATTATTCGAAGTGGAAAACGATACGTACATACTTACTTGTATCTTAAAGAGATTTCGAGTTAAATGGAAATCAAAATACATGCTGCATCACACCATTTGCAAAACGTTAAAAGACACACATTAAAAAAAAAGGACTCAGAACTAGTCAAGAGTCAAATCAACCGATCTTTGAACTTTCTAGCCAAAGGGAGAAAATATTAACTTAAAATATTTTACCAGACGAATATTCCAAAACACATTCTTTTGGCGATTTTGCTTTTTGGCCACTGTTTTGCACTTTGCATGGACACTTCTCCGCTTCTTTATAAGTCCTTCCACTTCGATTCCTCTGTGTACTTCACCCCCCACAGTCATCCTGACAACACTCTGCACAAAACAACACTTCTTCAAGCAAAAGCAAGGAAGAAGAAGAAACATCAGAAAGAAACCATCATCTCTCGACCAAAGCCAAACCCAGAAGCATTTTGCGAAAGCTAATGAAGAGCTTCTCCCGGGCGAAGCGGGTCACCGACCCCCTCGACGAGCGAGCTCGGGCCCGGCTCCTCGTCTGCGCCGACCGCCGCCAGCTCAGCTACGTCAGCAGCGGCAGCGAGCACGACGGGGAGGACTGCACTCCCCGCCTCTCCGAGCTCGTCCAGTGCTTCCTCGAAGAGGGCGACGGCGGCCCGACGGCGCGCGAGCCGGGGACCGAGCCCGACCCGGACAGAGCCGACTCGGTCCCCGACTCGCTCGAGGACGTCCTGGCGCGGACTTTCGCTGCCGAAGCCGAGGACCCTTACCGAGATCTTCTTCTGGGTCACGTTCTTGGGGCGGTGGAGGCGTTCTCCGGCTTGAGCGCGAGCGAGTCTCTGCTCAGGCGGAGTGTGATGTCGTACCTGCTGGAGATCGGCCACAATGCGGCGGTCTGCAAGTCGCGGTGGGAGTCATCGGGAGGCGTCACCGCCGGGAGCTACGAGTTCATCGACGTGCTGAGTCCCTCCCCCGCCACCGCCACCGCCCCCGCCCCCGCCCCCGCCTCCGCCACGTGGCAGCAGCAGAGCCGGTACTTCGTCGACCTGTGCTTCGCCGGCGAGTTCGAGATCGCGCGGCCGACGAGCCGGTACGGCAGGCTGCTGCGGTCGCTGCCGGAGGTCTTCGTCGGAACGGGCGACGAGCTGAAGAGGATCGCCAAGGTGATGTGCTGCGAAGCCAAGAGGTCGCTGAGGAGCCGAGAGCTGTCCGTGCCCCCATGGCGGAAGAGCCGCTACATGACGAACAAGTGGCTCGGCCCGTACCGCCGGACCGTCAATCCCGAACCGGCGAGCGGTCCCGCCGCCGCCGCCGGCGTGAAGTGCCGGTGCGTCGGCTTCGACGAGTACGCCGTCGACGGCCGCCTCTCTGTACCTACGAGATGATGACATCAAAGTAAAAATAATTAATAAACAGGGGGAAAATATATTCCGCAAATTTTCTGCGTTTTAAAAAATAATAACGGGAATTTGCGCGGGAAATTTGCATCGGGTGGCTGGCGGTGCACGACACGTTCGGTGGACACGAGCGGGCTAACGTCGCTCTACCGTTGGATGAAGAGAATCAACGGTGTCTGGGCTTTGAATTACTTTTTGCCTGGTGGATGTGTGGTCCTGGAGAATTGATGAGACGACATGGCCAATCTTGACTTTTGATTGATTTGACTCGTGATTAGAAGAAGCTTTGTACGTCTCAGATAGGATAAGGCTTTAGGCAATTGGATTAGATTAAAGTCGTTCTAGAAAGTTTTGCCTTTAGTAAATTTGTAGGTGAATTTCCAGAGGGTTCGAGATAACGATAAGACTCCATCTATCATTAATAATTAGGGAAATTACGGATATAAAATATTTATAAATTTTGACTTAACGTGCGATGACGTACCTAAAGTTTTAATTTATTCTCGAGATATGTTTACTAAAAATCTTAAAACTTGTCATTAAAGTGCAATTGAGTCTTAAAACTTGTAAAAAGTGCAATCAAGTCCTAAAACTTGTCAAATTGATTCAAATGAATTCTAAAGTTAATACCGTCAAAACTTACTGACGGAAAATGCTGACGTGACTTATTTTAATATTTTTTTCTCGTACATGACGATGACGTGGCTAAAACGACGTCGTTTTGGCTAAAATTTGATTTTTAATACTATTTTTATTTAAATTAAATATTTAAAAAATATTTTTTTTTTTAAAAAAGGAAGAGGACAGGCAGGGAGGGCACTCCCTGCCACCGCCGCTGCCCCACCATCGCTGGGAGGGGCTGGCAAGGATGGGGGTACGGTAGGCAGGGGTCGCGGGGCCCCGGTCAAGGGCCGGCGACCCTCGTCGACGGCAGGCGAGGGCCCCCTCCCTCCTCGCCTGTCCTCCTCCTCCCTTTTTTTTAAAATTTTTTAAAATTTAGCTTGTTTTTAAATTTAATTTAAATAAAATTAAATATTAAAATAATAATTAAGAAAAAGCCACGCCATTGCCATATAAGGTATAAAAAATAATAGAAAAAGTTACGTCAGCATTTTCTATTAGTCAAATTGGATGGTGTTAACTTTAAGACTCAATTGAACCAATTTGACAAGTTTTAATACTCAATTGTACTTTTTACAAATTTTAGAACTGAATTGCACTTTGGCAATAAGTTTTAGGACTTCTAGTAAGCATATCCCATTTATTCTCGATTTATTCAAATGACAAATCATACGTCATTTGATAACTTAGATTAATATATCATGAGTTAAATTCTTAAAATTGATGAGTCAAAATGTTCATCATTTTATCCGTCCACTCTAGGAAAGGAAAAAAAATTATGGTGTTAACAAGTTCATCATTATTTGCAATTATTATATCTTGATTGGAGATAAAAATCTTACTTTGATAATTCACCTGCAATTTTTCAAACTTAACAAATTGGAAGCCTTATCAGCAATTTCCATTAATTTAAATTAACGGAAGGACGACGTTGAACATTTTTATATAATCTAAGAACTAAAATGAACATTTATAGATAGTTTAATGATAACATTGAATAAATTAAACATTCGGGGACGACATTACACACTTGACCAAAGTTCGGTTAATTTTTGTGTCATTATCGCTACAAAAGAAGTGAAGTGACTCCGGGCAAGTCAAGCAATAAGTACTATAGACAGACGTTAGAGCGAATATAGGACATGATTCCCAACGGATACATGTCAAGTTTATCGGAAGGGGAACGACAATCGAGATTTATTTCCCTCGAATAGAGCTATCTAAGCAAATTCACCCTAATTTGACGCCAGCCGTGTCACGTAAAACGGTCGGCATCTACGTCAGCAATTTTTGGTTAAAATTGGTCTGATAGACTCAATTGACAAAACGTGAAAATATTTAAGACTCAATTGGCAAAATTGAAAAATTTATGACTAAATTAGAAAAACTGCAATACATTTAGTACCTGACATGTAATACGTTTAGAATTTTCCCCTACAGTCGACGTAGGTTCCGTTATGTTATTGTGGCTCATTGGCCAGTGGTCCTATACCCATGCCAAACTAGTTTTGGCCTTGAGTGATTCATGATCTCTCTATCCAATGAGAACAATGAAGTGAATGGTTTAACTCTAACATGCTAAGGGTGATTCCTGTGGAAGCAGGAGTGAATAAATGTATCGTGTTTTCCTCGATCATACAGACCTGGGCTACGAATATGAACATCGTCCATAGTGGGTAATATCCATATTTGTAACCCCTCCAATCAGAAGAATGGTCGGGTCCTAACCGGTTCGATTAAAACAAGACCCTAGCTTCACCAGAGTTCCCTGTAATATATCTCCAGTGACTAAAGTTGTTTTTTTTCTTTTAAGAAAATAATAATGACAAACACGAGCATACAGTGAGTGAATTCCCTAAAAAACCTCAAATTTTAGGTCAAATTACAAATCTGCCCCAAACTTTTTTTTGTCTAAAAAAACTCCAAATTGAGTTCAGTCCCAAATTTGCCCAGAATTTTGTTGTGTAAAAAAAATCAGCAAATTTCAATTTATTTTTAAAATTATACCCCCGTAATCCAGTCCCAACTTGACGTGGTACTTCCATGTCGATAATAAATCCACATTAACAAAGTAATGTGGTGATAGATACAAACCGACGTCGCATTTTCACTTCGATAACAAATCAAACCCAATACAAATTGTTGAAATTCTCCAAAATAAAATTGTTCTAGGATATGAAAGTTAGGGACGATAATAAATCCACCTCAATTTTTTTTAATTTAAAAAAAACCCAATTTTTAGGTTCAATCCAAATTTTCCCTAAACTTTTCTGTCTAAAAAAAAGCCCCATTACTTTGTTGATATGAATTTGTTATCGATGTGAAAGTGCCACGTCAAGTTGGGACTGAATCATAGGGATATATTTTTAAAAATAAATTGAATTTTGATTTTTTTTACACAACAAAATTTAGGGTAGATTTGTGACTGGACTTAAAGTTTGGGATTTTTTTTAAACAAATAAAAGTTGAGGCAGATTTGGGACTGGACCTACAGTTTGAGGTTTTTTCTTAGACAAAAAAAATTCGAAACAGATTTGGAACTTGATTTAGGCTCCGTTCGTTTGGCGAAAAATATTCTCCTTTTGGAAAATATTTTCCCGGAAGTCATTTTCCTGGAAAATGTTTTCCCGGAACATAATTTTCCGGTGTTCGGCGATCAATATGAAAAAGTTTTGGAAAATATTTTTTGCCAACGGCGACGACCGGCGTCCGGCGACGACGGCGGCGTCGGCCGGTGACCAACGGAGGCGGCCGGCGACCGGCGATCGGCAGAGGCGGCCGGCGATTGGCGGCGGCGGCAGGGACCGGCGACCGGCGGCGGCGGCGGCGACCGGCGACGGCTGCCGGCGACCTTAGTGAAGAAGAAGAAGAAGAAGCTTCGGAAAATGATTTCCGCTTTTGAAGAAGCGGAAGTCATTTTCCATAGACTTAGGCTATTTTGTGAGGGGGGAAGGAAAATATTTTCTCACGGAAAACGTTTTCCGCCCCCCGAACACCGGAAAATATTTTCCGGAAGAATATTTTTTGCCAAACGAACGGAGCCTTAAAGTTGGTTTTTTTTAGGGAAATAGGCCAGCAGACGATGGAGGATGAAGAATTGGACACTCCACTCTTTACTTCTGGCAGTGGACATGGTTAAAAATGCAAAATTTGGGATACATGATGCGCAAGATGAAGCGGCCATTCATAGGACAGAAACAAGTTGAGATGCTGGCTCTTGACGAGCTCTAGAAAAGGTCCAACTTCTTCAAATGCGGCAAAACGATAGGGGCATCTGTCTATTCTTAAATCTATGACAGAATCTTAGGCATTCATTTTTTATTTTTCTTGCTTATAGACCCTTTCAGTGCTAATGGTTAGATATCTAAAACAAATATATATCAGATAAACACGATCAATATCCAATAACAACTAGTGCAGTGGTTAGCAGCGTCAACTGCCTTAACTCTACGACCTTGTGCCCCTCTGCAATCAGTTGTTTAATATGCTGATGCCCCCCTTACAAGCAGAAGAAACCCATAATGTATTTCTACTTGCAGTCGCCACCGCATTATCTTATCCTTCTCTGCACCGCGATAGAGATGCTAACTTTTCATCATGTTGAAAAGGGCAGAATAGAAGAGAACAAACAGTCAAAATCCCAGCCATGTCGCATCTGAAGCAAACTACCAGTCCAGTTTACGACCCTTCACACCAGATTCACATGTAATGTACCCTTTTGAGTGTCTATGCTACAAACGAGGAACTTGGAACAAACTTATGTAAGGGAATAATTTACAAGAAAGCGAATGCACCTTTGAGTCACAAGAAGTACACAAAAGAATGGCCTATACAGTCAAACCTCCTAATCATACACTCTTTCCCGCACATAATTAAAAAGAAGAAAACTGACCCCAATAATGTCATGAGAGAGTAGATTCTTGGCCCTTGCTTTCCTCAGACACGTTTGACGTTGACAACTCCTCCCTCACACGGTCGACGAGTCGAGAGGCATCCTGGTTGAAGTTAAGGGGACGCCTTCGCAAGCTCTGCCAGAATTTGAAACGATTGTTGGTATTGTATTCACAAGCTTCTTTGGCTTAGCATAACAGAAGCATGAAGAGAGCAGCGCATACCTCCGAAGTCCACAAACAATCACTGGCTTTTCGAGGGATTATATGAATGTGAGTCTGCATACCATATGCAGAAAAGGCAATATGAGTCTGCATTTGATCATACTATGTGCAATGGTAAATTCAAACTACCAAATAAGACTGAATGGGAAGGTACAGCATCCTAGGTATAAATGATACAACTGTTCATCTTCGATGAAGCTATGAAGCGAAGGGGAATGTCTCATATAGATCAGCTTAAAGAACCCAAAATACAATTCTAAGCGAAGGGGAATGTCTCATATAGATCAGCTTAAAGAACCCAAAATACAATTCTCTGAGATTAGCCAAGGAGCAAATTCAACCTATAGAGAAGACAATCAACTTACGTGGAATATGACTTGTCCAGCAGCAGCACCATTATTAACCAACAAGTTGAAAGAATCTGGATTGGAAATCATCGACCGTGAGTATTAGTGCACTAAGAGCTTTAAGTGCTTGTTCAAATAGATGGTTGAGGGTATCGCAACAGGATGATACCACCAGAGAAAGCACAAAAGCATTGGCAAGTTAACCCGAAGCCCCCAAGTTGCCAGCTAACCATCCTATATGTTCCTAACAGACCCTTTCAGCTAGAGAGAATTGTCTTTGCTTCAATACTTTTAACTCAAAATTCAACTTCTGCTGTTTCTGAGAACTTTTTCTTCTTCTATTTCACCTTTCCTCAGCTTTCTATTTACAAAGAGTCGGATCAGGTGGACTGGAGGTTGCGAGGGCTACAGCCAGAGTTTTCAAAGGAATAAACTAAAGCGGATCCAGGTTTTGCCTAGAAATGTCCTAGTTGTTTTGCCAGCGAATCACGATACCCAGTACTTAAGGGCTCTTCATCTTTTTCTCAGGCGTAGATACAAGTATTTCTTTATCAACGGGTACTTAACAAATGCCCAATCCATACGTCATCGATATAAAAGGACCCAATATGGACACAGGACCAAGGTGGAGTTCTCAATTTGGCCCAAATCATTCTAACTGAAGAACTTTTCCAGGTTATTATGTAGGATACAACCTTTTCAAGGATTCTAGAATTGAACCGCAAGCACTTCCATTTTACCTAATGTGTCGATGGTCAAGCCACTTTAGTGCTGGATCTCCCGGATAAAGGTAAATAATTTACTTTTTAACTAACAATGGAAAGCAATACTAAGACAATGAGATACAAATAAACAAGTCGAACCCTGATACATACCACAACCAGCCGCTCTCATAATTGCACTGCCAATGAATGGAACTTTTGAGCACATTGCAGCAACCACCTACATGATGAAATCTTTTGGGTTCATTAAGCCAGTAGTACCAAGAAAACGAACAAAATATGTGCCACAAGAGTATGACCATTGCCAATTACTAAGTAAGACATTTCTGCAAGAAATTTTGGGAAGAACAAACAGCACACAGCAGAAGAAGTAACAACAGAGTCGGTTTACAGAAAGTTCATTGTAATTCAACGTGTACATTGCAAATCAGCTAGGATATATCCAAAGGACAAAAACTTCACAAACAAGATATATAGATGCTAGTTAATAAAATCTAACCATAACAGGTTTCAGTACTTTCTAGTCAAAATCAGAAAAGAATCCAGTAAAATAGACTAGACTTACATTCGGAGGTGTCGCTTCCAAAGAAGAGTAATGAGATTTTGGAATGATCAGAGAGTGCCTAGAAACAAGAAGTGCATGATTACAATTGTTCAACAGGTATGACGACCAAGGAAGTCAGATAAAAATTATTCCAGAAAAGTATAAAAACAAGAACAAAACAGATCCGATGAAACAGCAGACGAATGAAATTATTAAATTAATCATACTTAATCTAGAACGACCATTCAATCTCTAACTCCGTAGGTATTCATGTTAATGCAATGAGAATATCAATGCAACAGGAAGTTATTAGAGCGACCGGTTGTCAAAAATCAATCAACAAAGGGGCAAATCTAAAGCCCACTTAACCCTTGGTAAACAAAGCAATTAATGCCAAAAACGAAGAGAAAAATATTGAGACAAATAATATTGGGTGTTATTGTCAAACCAACCACGATTGGGGTTTAAATGGGAATGGTGGGAATCCTATCTCCAACAGCTCATGTAAAGCTTTCTCATAACCTCACAAAGTTTTTCAGCCCCTGATGTGATCTGCATGTAGAGTCTTTTTAATTATGATATGGGTTACTGCTAGGATGTAAGCTGACAACAAGAAAGTTGTCATTAGTAAGGCAATTGTTACTAAGTTCAAACCAACACTCATCATCTAGGCTGCTATACTCATTAAGTTAAAAACCAGATGGCAGCATCTGCAACTAACAGCAACATAGTTTCGGTGTGCCAACCATATTTCATGTATATTCACATGAATTCATCTCAATCATTCTTAACGAAGCAAGGTGACACAATCTGGAGAGGATAATTAGATGAGACTATATGAAGTCCTGGCCAAACAACGGAGGAGTTAATCACGAGAGTAAAAGTTGCATTTTTGCCTCATCCATTCGTGCTTGTATTTTGACGCACATGTCGATGACAAGTGGATGTACAAGCCAGAACGATAACTTCGCTCGGTTATATAAGTCATGTATGTAATATATCGAGGCTCATTTTACTGCACATTGTTGGCTGTGTAATACCTTACCCATGAGTCAGAGGTTTCGAATCCAATATGCACAGGCACTTTTCATCTTCATAGAGCTGTAAAAAAAAAAGTAGTACAAAACAAATTAGATCCAATGAATGAAGATACCATTCTCCTTGAATGATAGCTACCAATTACTCAAACTATCCAGCAGAAGAAGATAATGATACCCAACGGATCCATTCATCTTCTAGCATTCTCTTAGAAGTCAAACCTACCTAAGGCAAAACTGGATTCTAAACTTCGACAGATGAATGGTCACTATTCCGATGCTTACAGCACGTAAGTCCCTATGTCAACTTTCCATGAAGAACTCCAATTTGCAAGCCAAGATAAGAGCAAATCATAGAAGGAGAATGAAAAGCCGCAAGAACTGCTACTCATGTATGCAACATAACATAAACGCTTCACTATGCCTTCCACCATCCCTTCAGCAAATCACCAAATCAATCCCATCAATGAATCTAACCATTCTAGCAGCCACACATACTCATAACATTTGTCCGCCACATAGCAGCACCGGTAATGCTTAATCACGCGGCAAAATGTGAACACAATACGTCGAACGCGAATCTTCCGCACGCAGTCACCAACCGCAACGGGACATCGAACTCGCACGGTCCAGCAAGCATAGCCTACGAGACGCAAGAACGGCCGACCGAAACGAGCTTCGACGCGGAAGAAAACAGCTATCCATCCTCGAATTAGGGATGATTACCACCACAGGTCAAAAATCCATCAAAATACCTTGAAGGCGGGGGATTCGCCGCGAGTGATCCTGCAGAACACGCAGTCCTTGGTCGAGCCCCGGTCGCCGGGGTCGCGAGGCCGCTGCTGCTTCTTCCCGCGATCGCCGCCGCTCGAGGCGCCGGAAGTGGACAACCTGGCGGCGCCGGAGCCGGAGCCGGAGCCCGAGCCGACGGGGCGTAGATGCGAGCAGAGGACGGCGAGCCTCCGGTTCTCCATTGGCGCTCGAGGCGGGGTTTCACCGAGCGAGGTTCTGCGGCGCCGCCATGGATTCCCGAGGTCGCGTTCCTTGCGGTGGAGAAGGTGATTCCGAAATCGGGGGAAAATTGAGAGAAATTGCAAAGAAACCGAAATGCTTTTTGAAAGCGGAAAGACCGTGATCGATGCTGCTTCGGCTTTATCCGCATGTGGGACCTTCCGTACGCAGCGTGGCAGGTGGGGCGTTTTTTCACACTTCGGATTTCGCTCTATCCGTTCCCGATCACACGAACCGATCCCGACCGACGGGAGCCCGGGGGGCCGCATCGTGTCGCGATCGGTGGAGGGGGTCGGGTCGCGATGTCGCATTTTACCTACCGAAATGAAGGGATTGCCATTCATTCCGCCTCGCGTGTACCCGATGTGCCCCGAGCATACGCGTGAACTTATAAGTTCGTGTCTGAGTAAATGAATCGTCTCTTAATCACGGCTTATAATCTTTAAAGATCATCGTAACTAGTCGTGTTGTTCTTATTTTTTTTGTCTTTTTATGTGTGTGTTTCTGCTCGAGGGTTTCTAGTCCTTCTCGTGCCTGTTGGTTTCGATTAAGATCCGCCCAGATGTGCCCATTCCCAATCCGAGGAACACGGAGAAGACGCACCTATAATGTACGGCAATATGATGAATCGATTTACGATGAAATATATGAGTTTAGGTGAATTATTTCGTCTAGATGTAAATGCTGGACAAAGCTTTCTCTTACCAAATATAACTTTTCTGAACGGACACAAATTAGATCAATCGGTTAGACTCGTGATGACACTCGGATCTTTTGTTAGATCCAAAATACATACGTACATATAAATAGGTACATATGTATACACTAATATTGCCATCTCAATCTAGATGTTTGGTAACATCCACCAAAACTGGGCTTTAGGGGGACTATGGACCTATGGTTTATGTTGGCCATTATTTAAGTCACCGCACTATAGAACCTGTTGAATTCATTATTTAAAAATCACCCCCCAGGATCCCAACTTTCTTTTTCATTTAGGCCCAGACCACCATTTGGACTTTCAACCGTCGAGATTCACGTATGTAAAATTGATTTTTTTTGGGACCTTGGCCACATCGCATCCATAGCAATAGTATAATAGGCCACGACATTGCACGAATGGGTTGGACTAATCCCGCTACAAGCCCAAATCGTTTAAATGCAACGTACCATAATACGTTGCTTCGAAAATTGATCCCGGTTTTGCTCGGTTAAAACTCTATCGCATGAGGAATTTAGGGTAAATCAGTTTCAATCAAAGATTGGATCCAAGACCCTTGATAAAAATTACTTTCAATGTTGGCATAAATATTGGGTCCATTTGTTTAGAGAAAAATACACGTTTTGGAAAACATTTTCATAAAAATGATTGATTATATCGCTTGAAATAATTAGCTAATGAATAATATATTCATTATCGATAATTAATTATGCCTAAACATTTTTGTGGACGATAAAAGTATGTTTCATTCATTCATTTTTGTAAGAGAAATAAGCGATCATTTTTTTGAAAATATTTTTCAAAGCATTCATTTTTCCGCGAAACAAACAAACCTAAGTATGGTCAAAGTAAGTACGTTAACAAGCTCAAACTTTAGACTCTACACGGGTCAAGGGGAAAAAGTCCTTTGCGCGGTGCTTCCCAAACAAAAAGGGAATGAAGAGAGTTAAAAAGAACGTGGAAGACAGATTTGAGGAATTTCTGTATAATTCGATGTGTAGAAAAAATACGTGGGGAGTTTATTTATAGGCTTTATTTAATGACTATGTAAGGTAATAGGATAAACACAATACCAAATATAATCAATCAAGTATATGCACTATCAAAGGATATATATGCATTATCCTAAGAGATATACAGAACCAGAGGAAATACCCGATATATTACTAGAAGATATCTAAATATCTCATTGTGAGCGGTCAAATTAGTCGGATATTATAAGAGTTTTAAATAAACCGACGTCATAAAAAAATTTATTGTGTCGAGTGAATTATAAGTAAAATAACAAGGACCAGGCTCGAAACGCATGAGATTTTACAACTCGAATCCCACTACCAACCTAGTAGATAATTTAACACAATTTCCATATTCTAGGCCAATTTTCACCAATCAAGGGCGTCGCACTCATGCCACAAATCCTGATTCACTACATATAGTAATTTAAACATAAGCACGCCGCAATTCAGCCACAATAAGCACGTCAACTTAGCCACCACAGAAAAATCACTAAAACATCACATTTAGGCCCGTTTTTGATGCAATAATTCCCGATAATAACTCGTAATCATCCCGATCACCAACTTAATCCATTCTAACCTCAATTCCACCTCTAAAATTATCACAAATCCATCCAAACAACTCAGCCAATTCAGTCCACCAATTTCTCCACGAACAACCCCTAAAACTCGCTAAAACGGCCCCGAACTAACCCGAAATTACCCGTTATCCTAGGCGAGGTTTAGGATATCACTTCCCCGGAGTCCTAAGCTAGATTTAGCAACCAAGGGTGGCTGAACAAGGGAGAAACAGCAACATCGGCGTCAATGAACGGCGAGGGGCGCCGTCGGCCTCACGGCGACCACGGACGGACGGCGGCGGACGGACGTGCGGCGTCGGCCAAAGGTGTGGCCGGCTGGCCATTTTCACGTGAGGGAGAGGGGGAGAGGGAATTCGGCCAAGAGGAGAGGGAGAGAGAGGGAGGCGTGAGAAAAATGAGGGGAGAGAGAGAGAGAAAAGAGATTAAAAAGGAGAGAAAAAGGCTAGTCTAAGCCTACCTCCGGAAAATTACCATCTTGCCATTCTCTCTACTTTCCATCCAACGGCCACAATTCAATCTTATCCAAAAATCGACGGCCAAGATCAACCCTCACAAAAAATATCCAAGGGTAAAATTGGAATTTCACAAAAGTGCAGGGGCAAAATCGTCCAAAAATTTATCTCTAAAGTTGGTGTGAAATGACAAAAATGCCCTTCTCGTTTTACGCTTGGTCTTCACCAAATCCCAGGGGCAAAACGGTCATTTTCCACTTCCTGTCAAAATTTCAGTTTTCTGACGAATCCGGACAATTCCGAGGCTGACCAAGTTAATAACGATGTTGTCCAATTACTCTGTCATGACTTTCAAAATTTTCAACACCCAAACTCAGTCTCTATTTAATGGCCAAACTCAAATAAACGCGACTTGAGCTTATCTCAAACTAACGGACGGCCTTCAGGAAAATTCGTACATTCGACCCGTGGTCGATACTAAATCGAGCCACGTTTAAGTCCACTTTAGCCATGGTGACCTCGATTGTTATGTAATTGCAAGGATTAATCACTAGTTCTAAAGAACGCGATCGTTTGGAATAGGTTCGAGATCGTTCGCTAATTTCGTATTCTGGCGAGGCAGAATCACCCGCGATCCAATTATACTACATTCGCAAATCGATCCATGACCATCCTTAAATCGGTCTATATTAGCCCAAACTATCACCTCGACAATCCTTATGGTCGAAAGTCAGTCCATGGTCAGGTTCTATGGTCGCACGAATCTAGATCCCTAATTAGCCTTTCCCCACTAGTTAGTGTCTCAAGAGTGATCAAGTCTGAGCGAGATTTACTACAAGTATGTTATTGAAATTACGCATTTCATAAATACCAAGTGGGTCGAAATTTAGGATGTCACAAGAACCATTGATGATGGGATTAAGATCATCAAAGATAGGTTGTCTAATAAAAGAGTCCTCCTGCTTCTCGATGATGTGCATGAAAAGAATCATATGGGTGCGCTTGTAGGTGGGCATGATTGGTTTGGTAAAGGGAGTAAACTTATTATTACTACCAGAAACAAAGAAGTTCTTGATGTTCTTAAAGTGGACGACCGTTATGAGCTTATGGGTATGGATCGCAATGAATCTCTTCAACTTTTTAGCAAACATGCCTTCAGAAGAGATTCTCCTTTGGACGAGTATATCGACCAATCCAACAAGGTGATAGACATTGCTAAAGGTCTTCCGCTATCTCTTGAGGTCATTGGTTCACTTTTATCTCACACTGAAATGAAAAAGTGGAATGACATATTGGAGAAGTTGGAAAATGTTCCTCACACAGAAGTTCGACATAACCTGAAAATAAGTTATGATGCATAAGAAATTCGACATAAGCATATATTCCTCGATATAACTTGTCTTTTCATTGGATATAATAAAGACATTATGGTTCATTTCTACGAAAAATCTAAATTTTTTTCCGGAAGAAGCTGTGGAAGTTTTGCAGAACATGTCTTTGATAAAGATTGAAAAGGATAATGGAGTGTGGATGCATGACCAACTTAGAGATCTCGGAAGAGAAATAGTTCGTCAAGAAAGTAACACCAAAATAAAGAAGCAAAGTAGGGTGTGGGATCTTAAGGAAAGATTGGATTTGCTAAGTAAAATTAAGGTAAAACACCCCCTCCCCCCCAAATTTTTTTTATAAATTCCCAGTATTTATGGATTTTTCCTTAAAAAAAACCTAGTTTCTTTTTGTGTTGTCTAGCGCCATTACCACATCCTCAACCTATATCTTTTGCTCTTCTAAGATTATAGGAATGATAGTATTGAACTCAATTGCTTAATATAATGCACTTGAATAAATGCGTTTTAAAAATTTTCCTATGGGCAGGGGAAAAAAGAAGTTGAAGCTCTTCGTCTCAAGTTGGACCATCAACGGCAGTATCGTTTTACCTATAAGGGCTTTGAGAGCCTATCAGATCTAAAGTTCCTTGAATTGGACGGTTCAATGGAAAATTTTTGTGCAGAAGAGAAGCTTCTTTGGCACAAATCGCCATCAGATGTTCTTCCAACTAGTGAGAATTTAGATCTCCTTCCACAATTAAGATGGCTTTCCTGGCGTGATATTCCCCCAACATTTAACATTACAAATTTCTCCATGGAGGATGTGGTTATTCTTAATCTATCTTGGAGCAAAATTACAGATGATTGGAATGGGTAGAGCCACATTAAGGTATATTATATGCTGGACAACACATTATTTCATCTTATTAGATTTGAAAGTAATATTTGCATGATTTTTCTTGTATAGGTGATGAAGAACTTGAAAGTTCTGGATATGTC